TATTCCTCCCCAGGTGCAGGACCCTGCACTTGCCCTTGTTGAACCTCATCAGGTTCCTCTCTGCCCAGCTCTCCAGCCTGTCCAGGACTCACGGAATGCCAGCACAGCCTTCTGGTGCGTCAGCCACTCCTCCCAGTTTTGTGTCATCAGCAAACGTGCTGAGGCTGCGCTCTGTCCCTTCATCCAGGTCGTTGATGCATATATTGAATAAGACTGGACCCAGTACTGACCCCTGGGGAGCACCTCCAGTTACAGGCCTACACAGTTTCCTGTGAAGACATTCCTGGTCAAGGGCCTAGGGTTTGTCTAGTGCACAGGAACAGTTAAATACGTTCAGAAGCTGAGGAACACCAGTGAATGAGTGGAAGCTGGCCTGGCTAACCCCAAAGGCAACACTGAGTATGGACATGTCTCTGGATGTTGACAGGGAGGTGCCAACCACCACCGAACCAGCAAGAGCTGGGCAGTGCTTTCAACTTCAAGACAAGATTGGAAGCAGCTGCCTTTAGTGATAGGTACAAGTGTTTGTCTCATTTGAGGCAAATTTTAAAGAACATATGACTTTCAGAGGGGCCCAATGCAACCACGGTGTTAAACAACTGTGAGAGCAAGTCCTGGATTGTATTCCTCAGGGGGTTGGTAGGCAGGATGTATCTTTACCCAACATCAGTATGGTGGTATGGACTTGAATGGTGTCTGGGAGCTTCATAGTTTGAGAGAGTCACTTCCTGGGCTTGTGCCACTTCTAGACACAGGCAACAGCTGGGCCTGGGGAAGATTGGATATCAGTTTTGAATGGAAGCATCACCTAAATCCTGCTTTCCGTGTCTTAGGTCCTTTCCTGGATCTAGGCCTCAAAGACATGTCCCTGTCTGTCTGGTGTCCAGATGGGTTCTTGGTCTCACCTGGAGGCTGGCTTCCATCACGAAGAAATAAATCTCAGCTTCTAGAACCCCAGGTTGAGCCTATGGCACCCTAGTGTGCAGCTGACCAGTTAAACCTGTAGTTCACTGCACTTGGTGCTCCTCAAGCCAATAATGTGATGTCCTTCCCTTAAACAGGGGAAGTAGATGAGGAGAAAGTGTCCCGGGGGTTTTTCCAAGGAGCATCTGAGAACTTCCTTAGCTACTGCAGGGGTGGAAAGGGCCCTCATCCTACTCTGAGGAGTCCCCAAAAGTACTTCAAAATACTCCGAGGAAAGTGTCTGTCTTTGTGTCCCTTACGTCTAGGGCCAGTACTGGCCTGCTTCTCACACTGGTTTCTTTTCTGTGTTTCAGTTGACAATGACCCACATTTCATCATACACCTGCCCAAGAGCCAAAGGAACATCTGCTTCAATATCAACTCAGAGCCTGGAAAGATCCTAAACTTGGTTTCTGATCCTGGTACTGGTAAGGGAATAAAACACGGTTTACTTTGCAGCGCACTTTCCTCCTCTCAGGTCTGAAAGGTGTAGGGGAAATGCCTGCAGGGAGGACTGTGTGCTAACAGGAGTGTGGCCAGCAGGTTGAGGGAAGTAGTTACTTCCCTCCACGTCCGGAGTATTGTGTCCAGTTTGAGGCTTGCCAGTACAAACAGATTGTGAAAAACTGGATCAAATTCAGTGGTGGCCACCACGATGATTAGGGGGCTGGAGCACAGACATGCAGGGAGAGGCTGAGACAGCTGGGTTTGGTCAAGCTTAAGAAAAGAAGACCCATGGTGAATCTTGTGGCTGTCTATAACCACCTAATCAGGAGGTAAAGATGGAGCCTGACCCATCTCCAAGATGCACAGCTAAAGGACAAGAAGCAACAGAACCAAGTTGCAACAGGTGAAATTCAAAGTAGGAGTGAGATATTAGGAAAAGCTTTTTCGCTGTGAGGATGGCCAAACACTGGGAAAGGAGCCAAGACAGGTGAGGCAATCTCCACGACAGGTGAGGATTCCCCTCTGTCATTCGTACTTTTAAAGAAGAAAGTGGAAGATAGGTACAAAGAGAAGTAAAACTAGAGGCATCCCTGGTGGCAGACAGAAAAACGTTGCAACTGTGCTCCCAAAGGAGTCTCAGAGGGCTTTACCTATCAGTGTTTCTTTAACTTCTGTGATATATCTGAAAAGCAATGAGCATTTGGAGGCAGGTTAAGCTGGGCTGGAAATGTAGTATCGTTCCTTCACTGCCCATCCACCCCAAGCCTTTCACAGACAACAAGGTTTACGAACCAGCTCATGCTACCAGCAAGACCTAACATCTATTCCCAGCAGATTAACACTCTAAGGGGTGAACAGTAGCACCAGGAGGTGATCTAATAAATTATTCTCTTCTCTTGGCTGGCAAGATGAGAAGAACAGGGGGTCAGAGGGATTCCTGTTCCTGCTGGTCCCATGGTACTCCCTGCTGAGATCAGAACGCCAAGTCTCTAGGTGGTGCTCCAAGATTTAGGCAACACCTGCTTCTCTGCTCTTCACAGGAGTTGTGGTCAACGGGCAGCTCATTGGGGCCAAGAAAACAGAGAATAAGAAGCTCAACACATACTTCGGCAAAATCGGGTTTTATTTCAAAAGCAAAGGTCTGAAAGTGGAGATCACCACAGAAACGATAACGTTGAAGGATGGATCTTACAGCATTACGCTGACTTGGTCTGACACGGGGCACATCATTCGGAAACAGTAAGTTGCTGAGCATTTGTTGCCTGCCCTATGGAAACCGTTTGCCACACAGCATCGCACTGACCCAGCTATGGGCGTGTGAATCTGAGCATGTGAAACGAGGCAGTAGGGCCAGGAGAGCGATTCAGTTGACCAGACACAAGTAGAAAGAGCTGAATTCCTCTCCCTACTGCTGCCTAGCTAAGACCAGGATTCCGTTACTTAAACACAAGCACCTATGTTATTTGAGATACCTTCAGGGCCCCTGACATGATGGGAGATAGGACTTACAACATCCAGGAGACCTTCACCTGCAGATTAACAGCTAGCAGCCATGCTGGACACCCTACAGACACCTGTTTAGGCTATGGGATCACTTCCAAAAACTCCATTCATTGTAGCAACAGCTTAAATTTGTAGGGCAAGATTTGGTTGCCTGAACATGGGCATGAAGTGTCTGTCCTATTAGGCACTGTCCTGCCAGACCTCTGCCTACCATTCCCAAGGCTGTGGGTTTCTGATAGATCCTCTGTCATATCCACCAGCCCCGTGTGGTTGTTCTGGATGCCTGAAAGCATCTCAAGGGGACTGAGAGCTTCTGTGTGGGCAGCTGAACTGAACCCACCCTTTGATTCATCTCTGCTAGGCTTCTCATATCGGTGAAGAAAGAAAGCAACGTTACTATCACCGTGGGCGAGGAGATGTCCTTCATGGTTCTGCTGCACCGTGTGTGGAAAAATCACCCAGTTAATGTCGACTTCCTGGGAATCTACATTCCCCCCGAAAACCAGCTCTCTGCTGCAGCCCACGGGCTGATAGGTAAGGGCTATGGGTCAGGCGGTGGGAATGGCAGGGCACTAGGAAGGGGTTTTGCTGGATCTTTGAGTGACTTTGTCAGCATCTGTGTCCTGATGGGGAAGGTGTAAAAATGCGGGAGATTCCTGTAATGTCCTGAAAGCCCCAAGGACATTGCAGAACATGAGGGACCAGGAGATGATTCCTCGTCCCAGCTAGGGAGGGTGTTTTCAAAACAGGCCTGACTAGACTTGCTGACGCTGTGACAGGGCTTTCCTGGCCTGGCTAATCTGCTGCGGGTAGAAAAGAAAAACACTGAAACAAACCCCTCAAACCTTCTTTCTGAGCAGACTGCTGTGCAAATGTTTGTAATTCAGCTCTCCCCTGACTGACAGCCCTTTTCTGGCTGGTATAAACCAAAAACAAGGGCTCAGTTCACAGGGAAAATCAGCCCTCTGAGCCCTGGACCCACCCAAGGCTCCTCTTAAGATGTGGGAATCCTGAGCAGCAGAGGTCATTTTCCCAAATACTCTTCACAGCTCCAGTCTGCTTTCTTAGAAGAAGATTGCTGGCTCAAAAGCAGAGCTTTTTACTCTCCCAGTGTGCGTGATCTGGTAGTGCTGGAGACACAGTGCCCTGTGATCCATGCAGGAGGGGCTGGCCTGCTGCAGCTAGTTTGATTTTCCAAAAGTGCCCGGCAGCAGCTTACGTGAGAGTCTCAAAGGTTTAGGGCACACAAAGAGCTTTAAGCCTCTCTTTGATCAGGCCAGTTTGCATCTGAACCAGAAGTGTATATCCACCACCAAAGACCTGGGCAAGTTCCAGAGAAACCACAAGCCACCATGGAAGTGAAAGGCAACAAACTCACTGTTACCAGGTAAGAATAATGAGCTTTATTGCTCTCTTTCTAAATCTGATTTCTTTTTCTTTTTGATGACGTCAATGACTGTAAGCTTATTAACTCTCAAGAATCTCAGGGGGAAAAAAAATCCCACTGTTTGCCCTTTGCTAATAAACTGGTTTTAGAAGTTGGCAAAACACTTGGGACAAGTTGGGATCTTTTGTATTTGTGCAGAAACGATTCTGACCTCGGACAGGTCATGTAAAAATGGCTGGGACCAGGTCAGAGAACTGTAAAATTCATTACCTTGTGTGGTTCTTTCCAATTTCTGCTGGTGGAAGACACACAACTCACCACTCTGGCAGAGCAGTGCCGTGAATGAGCGGTGTGAGACCCCACCTTGAGTGCTCTGCTCAGCTCTGGGGCCCTCAGTGCAAGGAGGACATGGACCTGCTCGAGGGGGTCCGGAGGAGGCCACAAAGATGACCCAGGGGCTGGAGCAGCTCCCCTGTGAGGACAGGCTGAGAGAGTTGGGGTTGTTCAGCCTGGAGAAGAGAAGGCTCCAGGGAGACCTTACAGCGGCCTCCCAGTGCTGAAAGGGGGCTACAGGGAAGGTGGGGAGGGACTCTTGATCAGGGAGAGGGGTGATAGGATGAGGGGTAATGGTTTCAAACTGAAAGAGGGGAGATTTAGGTTAGATATTACAAAAAAGCTCTTCCCTGTGAGGGTGGTGAGATCCCAGCATGGGTTGCCCAGAGAAGCTGTGGCTGCCCCCTCCCTGGCAGTGCTCAAGGCCAGGCTGGATGGGGCTGGGAGCAACCTGGTCTGGTGGGAGGTGTCCCTGCCCATGGCAGAGGGGTTGGAACTGGGTGCTCTTGAAGGTCCCTTCCAACCCAAACCATCCCGTGAGTCTGTGGTTATCAATGTTTTCTTGCTGTCGTGCCGTGACCTTCCTTTTGCGCGGCCCCTTCCTCACAGGGGGTTGCAGAAGGACTACAGGACGGACCGCGTGCTTGGGACCGACGTGCAGTGCTGGTTTGTGCACAACAGCGGGAAAGGTTTCATAGACGGCCACTACAAGGATTACCTCGTCCCCCACCTGTACAGCTTTCTGAAGAAACCCTGAATGCTCCAACACAAAACCAGTTTGTTACAAAAAAATTCTTATCTGCTCCTTCATGCCCAAACAACCCTTCTGAACAGCAGCTGCCAGCTTATCAAGCCAGATCAACTGAAGGCGACTTCAGCACCATTTGCTTTATAAATGATCAGTGTTTCAAAGCAATGTAACTCCCTTTTCTGTTAAAAAATGAAATCTGTAATAAAGTGACATGCTGGGTTGTAGTAAGTATCTTGCCCTTGCTGTGTCTTATTTAATTGATAGTGAGGTCCATTAAAAATGTCAACATTTTGTAGCAGGCTTGTAACAGCACTGTGGCTCCAGCAGCCTGGGCAATGCACGTGACCAGATTTAATACCTACACCTCTGCTTTGCCAGACTGCCGGGAAAATGTAAGTTCACACCCTCCTGGGCTGGGCAAAAAGAAGGTTGACGTGCATTAGATGTGAAGGAAATTGAACAGAAAAGGACCGTGGGCTCTGCAGTGCGTATCATGAGGAGCCTCCAGTCTTTAACGATGGGTTAACGAGTGGTGAGGAACGTCCTCAAAGCAACTGATGCTGCCGTATTGCAGGAAGATGAATTAGATGAGTCTGAAACAACCTCCAGCCTGATTTTTGTGAAAATTTCAACATCACAGTGGAGTTCACACATAGATACAAATGTGGGAAAGCAGGAAACGCTCAGACTGTATAGAAATCACCACCAGTACTAACAGCTTCCCTTCCAGCGGGATTAGCTCCCAAAAGATGCCTTACTCTTCACGAGTATTCAGCAAGGAATGAGATCAGTAGTGAAACAAACACGCCCGTGTATGTACCTAGAGCCAGGTTTAAAACTCTCTTTTCCAGCAACCTTCAAAAAAAATATTGGCCAGATTCTTCTCAGCAGCCCTAATCTAGGAAGGGGACTCAAGTCATCTACTCGCTCTTCTGAGCTTGTTTCCCTCACTTATGAAGTAAAAGGCTGGTACATGATCTTTCTTGCATCCATGGTGTCAGGAGTGAGAGGTTCACTGTGTTTTCAATGTCTCTTCAAAGTAACTCTAGGAAGTGGGAGCAACTTCCCTACAAACCGTTCACTGTTTCTTTGAACTCATTTATTAGCTGGTTAGAGCTGTTTACACAACCCAGGTTGCACAAAGCGCCCGGATTTATAACCAACCATGTCTTCTGTCTCCAGTTCCCTTCCTTATAAATCCCCATTCTTTAGATAACCGCATCACTGCTTGACTCCACCTTGCATTGACGCCCGGGATCCCTGGAAAGCCACCTGACGGCCCCTGTGAGGTTATCTCAGGCTACTCCAGACAGCGGTTGTTTCACCAAACCTCTGCAGTCTTTCAGTTTTCCTGCAGGGGTCCCCTGGAAACCACAAATCATCAAGACAGTGACCCTTCGAGGCAAGGAAGGGACAAGGAACAGCGACTTTTGCCTCTAGCGACCTTTAACTTTGAAAATGGGCACATCACCACAGCTCCCTGCCCTGTCAACCCTCAGCCGAGCTCTCCTCTGAAGGATCCGAGGGGTCTCGGGTGCCTTTCCATCGGGTTCCAGAGACACAGAACCTGGCTGGGACAATCAGGCGATGGTTTGCACTGGGCCTGGGATGACTGGTGTCTTTCCATGACACAAACAAGGCAGCGCCCCGGCCGGGCACCTCAGCGGTGGATATAACCAACAGACACCCGGCGTGTTTAACAGGCGGGTAAGAAACACACTGACCTAAGAAAGGTTGATGTTTATTCCTGAACTGCTTCAGAAATTAAACATTGTAAAAAACGTGACTTTTTTTTTTTAAAAAAAAGAAAATTTAAAAAGTCATGTTACATCATTGAGCATGAGTAATGTTACTCGTGTAGCAGAGCAACAATGGAAGCACCCACAAAGGAAAAGTCTCTGGTAAACTGGAACAGCAGAAACAGTTTTCATATCTGCACACACTCTGGCTGACATCCCAGAAACCCCACAAGTAACATCCACCTTGGAGCCCACATGGAGATCAATTGTGTCCTAGTATGACCAGGAACTCTGACGAGTAAGGCGATGGAGGAGCGATGACTTGCGTTCTACCGCTGTGCTAACCCAAACCAAGCTGGTGACAGCACTCAGTAAACCAGGCCATGCTCACCACATCCAGAAAATAATCCCTTGCAGCAGCACCGTCACCTTCCTGCTGTGCTCTTCCTCCCTTCCCTTGTTCCTGCAGCCAGAACTCGGTTTTGGCTGCAGCTGGAGAGCGGCGTTGTTTAAACTCCACCGGCTCCAACACGCGCTGCCTGCCTCAAGCAGCTGTCCGTAGGTAATTCTCTCTCTTAGGGAACTGCTAACATCCTTCAGTAAATAAAACACTCCAGCTTGCAGCTATCTGCTGTATTTTACAAAAGGAAATTGAACCAAATATTGTAACTTTGACATAGAATCAGATGAAATATTTCCACTGGTAAGATTTCCACAAACATTTTATGTAACAAATCCGTAGTGATCTTTAAATAAATCCAGTTTGCTGGCAGTTAATTTCTATATACATTATAAATACATACACACATAGGCAATTAAAACCCTGACACGGTAGAGTCTTCTGTCTGCTCGCAAGATGCCAGAGAGATGTTTCAGGGAACCAAAATCTTCTCTGATCCACCATGAGCACCTCAGGCGAGTTTGGAAATGTCTTCGTACTGGATATCTTCAACTCGGCGTCCTTTTAAAGGTCCCTGGAGAACAACACAACGGAAGAAATAAGAGCAAAATATAAACTGGTTTGTCTGTTGAATTCCCAATAGGGAGCTTAAAAGAAGACAGCTAAAGGGGCTGTGTGAAATCTCGCCCCATGTAGACATTTTTCAAGGAGCACAAGCAAAGCGAAGAGCACTGGAAACCGCAGGCATTCGCGGTTTTACTCAGTGCTGCACCGAGTACGAGCACGACGACCGCTTTTCTGGGTAAGTGCTCTGTCCAAAAGCCACACACGACTCCACCCTGGAGGCTGCACAGCAGACGCACAGCAGAATACGTCCCAAAACCCTGCAGGTTTGGGATTCGCTCACGACAGCATGTTGTCTGTTTCGTTATTTTCAACCCGACCAGAGAATGTGACAGGGCCTCAACATTGTCCCAGAAATCTTTTCGCTTTCAGGACACATTCTGTGTTAGTTACAGTCCTTGCAATTCTGGGGCAAACATAAGCAATTGTTTTGAATTAATTCACTAATTATACATATATATATATATACACACAATATATACAATAATTAATACTAGTAGTAAAACATTTAATTTCAAATACAAACTTCTTTATATATAAAAATCCTGGTCACCTTACAATCAGTAAGAAAATTCTTACAGACTTCATCGATTTTCAGTAGTAGTTTCACCCATTTTTAATTTATAGACTTAAGTGTCATGCAGGAAGGGGAAAACTTAACATCTACAAGCATCAGAACTAGAGAAAAACTTGCTTTCCAAGACCAATGTTATCACAATCCTTAGCTCCAACCAAAGCTCCTTTCGTGGTCAGGATATCTGCACAGTCTCTTCTCAAGCAAATTCTCCAGAACCCAAGACGGGCTGAGTTTCCGCAGCCCTTCTTTGAACGGGACCCTAACAGGGTCTCGCTCCTGCAAGCTGTGTTTAAGAAATTTGACTTTGGACCCAGTATCTTTCCTGTGTCAGTGAGTTTAAAGGTTGGTTTTGCAGAGGAGAACAAAGAAGTAGCCACACAGACATGACCACGGGGCCTAATTTTAGCCCAGAGAAAGGTGATAGTAAAAAAAAAAGCAAAACAACAAGAAAAGAACCTTAATTGTTAACCATAAACAATACAACAAACCAGCACATAAAGCCCCATGTTCAGTTTGCAAAAAGCAGGAGAAAATTCACCTCCTTGCTTATTTCCCATTTTTTACCTTCCCACAAAACAGCACAACAGCCACGTTCAAAATAAACACACAAAATGTTTTCCGAGTCTCTTTCAAGTTCAAAACCGGCTAAAGTCGGCATCCTGGCATCTTTCTAAAGGCAAACAGCAGAGCATTAGGCTGCACTGGGGAACACACGGCTGTTTTCCTACTGGCTGGGAAGAGGGTGGGGGTGACCACAGCGTTTTGCACAGCGTAAATCCCACCTGTAAGACAGGATTAAGGACACCACCTCTCTCCGTGAAAGCGCTCCAACGTACGGCTGCAAAGCGCTCAATGCAAACGAGACCTTGCAGCGTTCGGTACTTACAGAGTCGATGATTATTGTGGCCGAAAACCTCTTCTCATTGATGGATTCCAAGACGCCTTCATTTCCCCTGTAACCGCCATTTAGTACCATCACCTTCTTGCCTGAAATGAGAGACAGGAAAACAAGTTACCCAAGAGGGCTCCCGGTTCCCTTGGATGGAGCTGCGTTCAGCTCCACCGAGAGCTTTTCCTCCCACGTTGCCTGTGCTAAGGGCTCCCTGTACCTCCTTTTTGCCTTCTGTCCGACACAGGCAGCCCCTCGGGACATCAATCCCAGCGCAAGGGCGGGCACTGCTCACCCACAGGCGCCGTTAAGCTAAAGAACACTCAGGGACACCATCGACCAGCTCCTCCCCAGCTGCAGAAACGCAGAATACAGCACGTCTGCTGAAAAAACGGTGAATCCCCAAATCCTACACCCTGTTCCTCCCTACGCTGACACTGTTCTGCTTACCGCTACCCTGACCACTCCCTGGAAGACTGGTCAGGGGATACACACCAACATCAGGGTGCATCAGCCAAAGAAACACCAACGAACCAAACAGGAGATGAGGTAAGCTTTGCCAAGTACCTACAGCTATTCCAGGCATGACTTTGGAGGGAACATACAGGATAGATATGACCAAGGGCTCTGTAGGGCTCCCAGAGATGCTTCCTGGCAGCTGAAGAGAGATGCTTTCATCTCATCAAATGAACTGATTCCTAAAGCACTTCTGTCTTCTCAGAAAACAATCTAATTCTTACAAGAAGGGACTGTGAAGACTCAAAGCAGAAGCAATGTAACAGTTCCCTAGAAAGTACCCAGAGCATATTTGGTAAATGATCAGAGTAGCCTACGAAATGCTGTCCCAAGAGCAAGGTGGCTCTTGTTATGGTACTTTCAAGTGGATGAATTACAGTTTAAAAGAACTGAAACCTAAGTTTTGCAGTGACAGCTACGCTGAAAAATGAACAAAACAGCTGTACCTGGTGCGGGTATTACAGTTTCCAGATGCGTCTGATCAAGCTTCAGTTTGTCTCCAGAATCAATCACCTTCACAACTGCTGTATATTTGTCAATCACTTCCTGTTGTAAAAGGCAAAAAGCCAATCAGAAAGGAAAAAAATGTCTCTAAATTTACATTACAAAATTAACAAACTCAGGCCCACGGGTCTGCACTCCTGCATTTTCAAAAGCAGCAAGGACTTCTGAGCTCTCCTAAAGGCACCCAGACTGCTGGATGGCCCCACTCTCAAGTCAAGGCGAGATCGAAAGGTCTCCTCTTGAACACCAACAACTGCCCTAACTGACCGCTAATTTTACTGGCCTTGTCTGAAGGTTTTGTCAACGTTTGGGTCAGTTATCTCAGCTATTCTCTCAGAGCCAGACAGTAAATTAGAGGCTTTTTTCCCCCATGGGAGTCTAAGGTGGCTGGAAGCCACACCGTGACAAGTGGGATGCTACCTCTCAACGAGGAGGAACGTCTCTGATCATCTTTGCGCCCAGCATAAACCATCTCTCACACAGAGCTCAGCAGAAGACAGCCTTTGGGACTCATAAACCCTCCCAGATGTCTGTCCAAAAAGCTGTGACTTTGAGCTCGATACACTCTGGTCGATCATTCAAAATGCAGTTGGGTGTCATCTTTGGCCCTCCTGCCAGAGGCTGCTGAGCCTTGGGCCACCTAGCACAACGTCATTTCACTGGCCGGGGCTGAAAGAAAGCACTTCGGAACAACAGCGAGCGCCTGAAGACTCTGTATGCAAATGAGAGCTTGCCCAAAGGCAGCCTGCCACTTCACTGGCAGCGCAAAACCGGCCAGTTGTGAAATTAAAATGCCATTTGCGCTGCTCTTGGCCATACCACACCGACAAAGAGACCGTTCTCCAAGATGGACGTGTTAACAGGGATGAACTGTGCAGGCCAGGGCAGTGCTGAAGAAAGGATCGCTGAGTATAAATGAGATTAAACCAGTTCAGAGAGTCATCCCCCCGCCCAGATCCAGTCCCAGTACAGTTAAGGTGACACTTCAGCCCCTGCCAGTGTTGACTTCAGGCTGAAGCACTTGCACAATGAAACAAAACTTCAGAAGTTATCTGATGCCAGAAAAGCCTACCCAATGCCACGTGCTTCCGCTCGCACGCTTTACCTTAACAACTGCCTTCTTCTTGTGGTACTTCTCTCCGAGCTTTTTCGTTACAATTTTTACAATGATTTCCTAGAAGATTTGAAAGGAGAAAAAAAAGAAAAAAGCAAGACAAAATATCCAAACAACTACACAACCTAACCTAATTGCACATTCAGGTCACTCTGACTCCAGCCGCAGACTGTACAGCACAACACACGAAGCAATGATAGTAAAGACTCGGCTTTCAGGAATTTGTCTTTATCCTCGCATTATTGCCTCAAAGTAGCATCTCTCACGACTCTTTTTTTTGTTTGTTTTACAAATACAGTTACACTTGAATTCAGGATATAATGGGACAGCTCACAATGGGTCAAGGGCAGGACTTCTTGATCTAGAAGTCCAGTCAAAAAGCAGGAGCTGAGAGGAGGTCTCTCAGCTCAAAGGCTGATGTTGACAACAACATCTCTGCGCGAGTCAACTACTACGTAGACAGAAGAGGGCTGTAAGTAATATCACGATTTAAACATGTTCTGCAGAAACTCACAGTACCAACTCTTTAATTACAGAATTCCACCCCATCTGACATCAGGCATACGATGCGTCAGCCTGCAGATCATGCTCACCCAGAAGAGTAACTCCTCCCAGATACTGTTAATATTTCACACTTGGCAGTTTGGAAAATAAAAGTGAATTCAGTCTGGAGTCTGCTTTCGGATCTTTACACAAATCAACAGCGGCCTTAGAGATGCAGAGCTGGTTGTATTTGGTGTAACAGCAATTTTTAAGACACTTACAGGCTGCAACCAGTAGTCTCTTCGAGACGTTCTTTTCTTCTCCTCTTCAAGCTACAGAACAACAACAAATAATCACCATTTACTTCCTCCTTTCACTGCAGCTTCCCCACGCCTTTGAAAAGCTGAACCAACTCTCCAAACCCACATCAAGTGGGAAATAAAATTAAAAAAACCAACTAAATAAGGGTAAGTCAGTGTGTGCTTGCTGCATAAAAAATCAATCTGAGGAGATTCAGGAATCCATGATAAAATGATGGAGATTTGTATTTGTTTTTGTCAACTTTCTTCTCTTCCAAAATCTGTATTCCTTCACTTCCAACATCTCAGTCGTCTGGGGAATAGGCACAGATGAGCAGCAGAAACCAGTTTTAATGGGGAAGTGAAATAATTTTGCCTGATAAGATACAGAAGTCTGAATTCCACATGAACTGAAGGTTTGAGGTCACTTCAAAGGGACACCCTGGTAAAGTGGACATAGCCATAGTCACGGGGTTATAACGACACAGATCCTGCACGATTGTTACCTCCATAATCTCATCCAGTGCAGATTTCTTCTTTTTCTCTTTGGATTGACCAGAACTATGAGCTGATTCTTTTCTTTTAACTGCCCCTTCCACCATCTTCAGTGCATTCGGTCCAAGGACACTGCTGGAAGAGTAAGATGGTGTTTTCACAGCAGACCTTACACCGTTTCCTCTACCAAGAAGCATGTGAAGAACTGGTTGTGCAAAAGCACCTGCTGATCTATTTAATTTCACTTGTGCAAGTCACCTTCCAGACCCTGCGTGCCTCCTTCTCCAGGACTGCATTTGGCAGCTAGAACTGATCTCCTTGAGGTGTAAACTCCATGTCCACCGACGTTTGCTGCCAGCAGCCCAGCAGAATGAAAACAACCTATCGATCAGTTCACCAGCACAAAAGCAAAGAGCTGCTCAGGGACTCGAGTTCAACGGAGAAGACAAAAGCAGGTCTGCAAAGCAGGTTTTCAGATTCGAAAGGACAAACTTGTGGCTCTGGAGAAGCCACCTGGACAGACCAACCCTCAAACATGGTGGATGTCTAGAACTCCTTCCAGATAGAGATACTTAACCTATCCAGCAATGGGAGAGACACGTGGGAATCTGTAGAAAAGGGCTTCACACGCAGCAAATAAACACCACCTTCACAATTATATTCAAAACAGGCAAACAGCCTATGAGTTACAAAAGAAAAGCACAAAAAGTTACATGTCAGGGATCAGGCAACATCTAGGTAGAGTGAGAATCACCCAAAGGCAGTGTGAGTTAAGCCATTTTTATAAAAGACACTGGAATGCAGTGAAAAAAAAATGTTCTCTCATCCGGAAAGATGAAGGCTGCTGTGAGGTGGGCAGCAAGGTAATATTGGCACGGCCTTACAGCAAATCACATGCTCTGCCTGTAGTGAGGACGTCCGATATACCAGCAAATGGAAGATACATAATGGGAATGAAGATACAGAAATGGCCGTAGAAACAGAATTGAGAGAAAAATAATTGGTTTTCAGAGAAAGACTGAATAATCTCCACAGCAGGGTTCTAGAAGAAGCAGCACATTAAATCACAAACCCAACAGCAAGTATTTAAAATAAGAGCTCATAAAGGGTAACACAATTAAAAGGTAACAACCGCAGTGCCTACATTTAGGAAGGAAAACACATCTAGCTGTGAGGTTACTAAGAGATCCCTGGGTGTCAATACTAAACCAAATCTTGCTTAGGGTATTCCTTAAGGACCCTGGGACAAAGAGTGAGAGACCACCAACACTGCTCAGGCGGGCCCTTCAACGTGGAGGACACAAGAAAGAACTGGACAGCGGAAGGGATTGGTTTATCTTGAAAGCCATGTTTGAAAAGAGACAAAATTCAACATCCTATTATGCAAGCTCACACACTCGGTTACCTTCTATCTACTGGGAGCTGTTTAAGAACAACAAAAGCAGAAAGGGGTCTGGCTATAACGACTGATGACAGCTACCAGTGTGGACCAGTCACGAAAGAGTCAAGTGCAACCCTAGGAAGCATCAAGACAGACAAGCACGAGCGCCCTGGATAAGCCACGGTGACATTTCATTCGCAGCATGCACAAATTCGATCAGCTCCCTTGTTCAAGATGAGCTGAAACTGGAACAAGGACAAGGAAGGGACGTTCAGCGGATCAGGGGAATGGGGAGACGGGGCCAGCACCGTGGAGGCCGGCTTGTACAGCACAGCGAAGGCTGAGAGGCTAAAACTGTTCTCTACAAATACACTGCCTGAGAAAGCAAACAGCAGGGAGAGAAAGAGCTATTTAGGTTAAACGCCCGTACCAACACGAGAGCAACTGCTATAAACTGTCCATGGCTACATTTCCCTGGGAAATCACAGCCAAGGTTCTAACCATCAGAGCCAACAGGTTTTGAAGGCTCTTCCCTTGGGATTACAGGGCTGGGGAGACCCAACGTGCAGCGTACGATGGAGGCTGATCAGGGCTGCAGACAGGGCTGCAGGCTGGTACACCTGCAGCACTGCAGGCAGGAGTCAGGGACCTTGGCAGCAGCTTCTGCTCATTCCTTCATTACCAGTAATTCTAATCCTACTTGTCCACCGAGCGAGTTAAGCGGGGATTGGAGGATGATAAGTTCTTGATGGAAAAAAGTACGCCCAGGGCTCCCAGTTTGCTCAAGGGCAGTCAGCATCAGAAGCCGTGCTCGGAGTGGCAGTGGTGACACCCAGCTTTGTGTCAGCCACGCAGATGTGCAAGGGAAGGCACACCTCCCCTCTCACTGCCCTGCTCAGCAAGGCTCCAAGCCCATCTCTGTACCCAGCTCCCAGCATCCCCGTGCCCTCTAAACTTGACCCGCGATCTCCTGGTCCTATTTCCACCCCCCCCCGCTCAGGAAAGACAAGCGGCAGGTTTCTGCAGTTTGGGCTGCGAGCACAGAGGAGGGGAAGCCGGGAGGTCCTACCGCCGCGCTGGGGCACGGGACGTCAGGGTGAACTCAGCTGATCCTCAGGAGCAGCCAACAGCCTCAAAACTCACCCTTGTGCTGACACAGGGAAGCAGCTTCCATATACAACTCTGAAGTGATTCCCGTGCCACCCGTGACATAAACCCCTGTCCGGTCTCTTTACCATGAGGCAGGTATCCTAATTTTGCTTCCACACTACCGTTACAAAGTTTACAGACAAGCAGCTCTCATACGCTATGAAAAAATTAAGACTACTCGATGTATGATTTCACATTCAGCCAAATTTTAGCAAGAACCCTAAGTATTCCTCACCGAAACTACTCAAGTGAGTGGAGGAATTCAGACTCATCTTAAGCCCCACTCAATGCTTAGGGATAATTTACAAGTTTTCCTCAAAGCTTGAAATCTGTATCTATTATTGCAAAGAACTCCTTTATTGTCTCATTTTCTGCCTGGCACAACTCCCATCAGATCCCTTATCTAAGAGCTGAGCTTGTGATGAGAGGAAAGCTTTCGTTTTACCTGCAATACAGTTAATTACAATATTGCCTCACATGAAAAGATGTGCTGCTCATCAAACAGCTCCACAGACTGCTGTAAGTCAGTTTTGTTTGCATTATCGATCCCTTTTGTCCCGAGCTGCTCGTGGCTGTATGATGATTAAATTCACAAGCGTTAGAAAGATTTACACCAGGTAGATTCAGCTTCTTAAATGATGATCAGAGAAAGTCCAATTAGACAAGGCAATCAAACCTTTTAGGAAGCAAAATTAACAAGTCACGAACACCGGTTCATAGAAGGCGGCTGGCACTCACTTCAAATGCTTTGACTGGATTCCTTATCCACCTTTCCACGCAACTATATCCTCTTAGAGGAACCTGTAACCGCCTGTTACTTTATAGGCATCTGCCACAAACCATCGTGAATTCAAGGCTCCTCACAGCACACATTTAAGATACACCATTCGTCCATTTTAAATACAAAAGGAACCGTGATGTCACCTAGGATCACCTCCTGAATAACACAACAGGACGAGACTAATATTAGACTCCAAATATTTCAGGACAAGATACATCCTCCTGCCCGTACAAATACCATTGTCATTTAAGTGCTTTGCAACAGTAAGGGTTGCCCTTAAATTCTTTTCTCACCTTGTTTTAGAAGATGCTGCTATTGAAGTACTTGCTCCTTTGTTTAAATTAAATGTAACTAAAAAATAAAAAGACATTACTCTATTTCTATCTTTAAATATAACTGCATTGAAGGATGTTACAATTTTTAAAATCTGCAAATGGAAAAGATCATAAATTTGAAAATATTTACTAATCCGTGTTCTGGTTCAGCTTTTAAAATAAATTACTTTAAACATTATACGAATATTCCGTATTTCCATATTCCAGTGCTCTTTAGAACTGATCTCAAAGCACTTTATGAAGCACTGAGCAGGCCTCAGCGCTCATCTCGTTTTAATCACAACATCAGCTTCAGTAGGTTCTAGAAAATCACATACATCAAAATCTGGTTACCTTTTTCTTCTTCATTTTCTCTGTTCAGTTCAGTATAAACTGGCTGTTCCTGCCAAAAGAACACAAAACATGTTTCAAGAGTCAAATAGAAAACTGAGCTGAGCTATCATTTTTTGGTGATCATTGATTAGCTCAGTTTTACAGACTTCTGCGAGATTATTACAAGTAACTGTAATATTCAACCTGGCTTGATTCGTAAGAAGATAATAAATTGAAAACATTATCTCATCACAGGCTCCTGTGCAAAATTCTTTAATTAAAGCTCTCTACAGAGATGCTGTCTAAACTTGCTTGATTCCAGCATGAAGGGAAAGTGGCCTTACTGTAACAGTTTTCCCTATTTGAACCAGCAAGATTAGACTGGTTTCTGGATGCATTGATAACCAAAGAAGGAAATTCTGGAATCTTTCCAAATTTTTAGCACTGAAGGCTCAGACCATTTAAATTTCAATTAGTTTCACATTAAGAAAAAAGGTAATTGTTTACTACAGCATTTCAATGTACCTATCGATACCCTGGATCAAATGGGAGGCGCCAATCCCAGGCAACAACGCGTATGCAATGATGCCAAATAAACAGATCCCAAACACCACACCAGCACTACCAAAATAAAACTTTTCACTACGTGGATTTGATTATGCCAGCTCCCCCTGGTCACCTCAGCCCCCCACTGTACAAGGTACTTGTTATTTGCAGCCCTAAAAGTCGTGAAATACCATAAATGAAGACACGTCATGCTGGTTACTCTATTGTTTGCTGCCCCTTCCCAAATTCAAGAGCGATTTTTATATCACTAATCGCTTGAATAGCAGGAATTATTACTCCTTTAGTACTAAGCAAGCCAGGTACAGTGTAACTCCAAGTTTTCCTCCAGAACAGGTTATAATCTAAGTTAACTGTGTAGCAGAAAATTCAGAACATAAATGAACTGATGTGGTGATTCAAGTGTGGAAGAAGACAGTCTAGTCAAAGTCTGAAATGGCCAGGAGCAGACACCAGGGCCATCGGGCACAATCCTACTAGATTTCAAAATCATATCAAATCTAAAAAGAGCCAAAACCTCTGCTTTCATTTGTTTATTTTGTTTTTGAAACTGTGGTTCCACAGAGGATCTTGATGTTCATCAGGTGGAAAAACCATCAGCAAGCTGGTTAGCCAAGGAAATGTAACAAGCTGCAGTTTCAACAGAAACAAGTCAGCTAAGGCAGCTGCCATCAGAGGGATCTGGGGGGAGACTATTCCTTGTGGCTTAGACAAGAAGAGCAATGCAGCCGAACAGGCCCACTGTTCCCCAGTCTGAACTGGGGATGAGCTTCTAACCTGAAGCATGAAGCTTACTCATCACCTCCTAACGGACTGCAGAGGAAATACCAGTGCAAGGATCCCAGCAGCGCTGGAGTCACCGCTAACGTAACCACGAGGAGCTTTCAGCTGAAGGCTGACACACAGTGTAATTGTCCTCACCAGTTCTTTCCCCTCCAAACCTCTTCTAACTTGTTGTTCGATGAATTTAGCAGTTTTTTCTTCATCATCAAGATCTTGTTTCTTCTTCCTCTCTTGTTCTTGTTGCCTGCGAATAGTCTCTGGGTCCCTATCAATGTACTGAATATACCAGCCTTTCGGAGTCTCATCCACCTTGCAAAGACCTAAAAAGTCAATGCAAGATAAAGTAAGATTAATACTGACAAAAGCAAGGAAGGGCCAAAGAGAATACCAAGATCATTTTCACAGTCCACGTTCACTATAGCAATGCAGGTACTTTACCAGAGACAATGTACCTCTGACTGGCCTGGTAAAACTGACTTTGAGTTACCTTTAGCATCTGCTTCTGCCCCTCAGCTAGCTGGCTCTGTTTGGAAACACCATAAAGTGGAATGGTTTATAGCACTTTCCTTATTGGAGAAAATGTTTCCTCCTCACTGTTTTAACAAGGAAGAAAACAGAAATCTAACACACATAAACAATACACGCTAATGACATCATACTAAAGGAAACTTCACTACGCTACGTTATCGTTACTCTCACTAGAGCGACTTTTCAAACACTGTGTGACTCATGAACGTATCCTGTAGGACACAGGCAACCACAGCCAAAGTAAACTTTCTGTCATGCCACTGTGTCATTTAATCTCTCCCTCTCTCGCTGAACACAAGACTGCAGAGCTCAAGCTTTAACCCTTTCGCTCGGCCAGGAATGAACACGACTGCTCGCTCCTCGTCACCTTAAACACGGAAGGGTTCTGTAGTCCTAAGAAATGTTCTATCACCGTTTTCCATTTTTAAATGGCAACTGTTGGAAGTTGGTTTCGAATTTAGCAATGCCTCCAGGAAATACAGACCAACAGATGAAACAAGGCAAGGTTCATGACTGACACATTTATCTCAGACTTCTGACATTTTTCATAAGCCAATTCCTAATGGTTAGCACAGAAATATGTTTGGACATCTGCTACATATATATATATATATATATATGTATATATATATGTACAGGAGGAGACGGGAAGAAAGAGAAAGGAAACGGGAGAACTAATGTAAATGTTTACTATCACTTCTCAGCAATGCAATTACCCAATAATTTTAAAACTTCCTGACCCTGAGCAACTACATTTACCTTCTCTCCCCAGCCACTTAGTGAAATCAGTCAGTGTCTCCCACTGCGTGGCATTCATGTGGATGTGTTCTCGATGACTGATATATTCGTTGTACACAATATTATTGTGCACTCTCTTGGTTCCTGAAATACAGAATTATCCTTATTATGAAACGTAAGTATGGGGCCTAGGAGAAAGCAACCAAAGCTTCTTGCACTGAACAAATAAAAGACATCAAAACCAAACAAACAAGTAAGCAAACAGTAAAATATTTACCAAATCGCCTCCTGAGCAGTTCTAGGAAATCATTTCGGAATTCCCTTAGGGGATAAAAAGAAAGTATTTTAGTAAAACGTTAACAATCACAAAGTCATTTTCTATTGTCACGAGCAAGTAAATATCTGCAGCATAAACAGGAGTATTCTCCTGAACTGAGCAAGACGGAATGCAGATGCTCATGCCCCTTTTTCAGTAAAGCAGCATTAAAAGCAGGAGGCACAACAGAGAAACACAACATGGTACGTGCACACACAAGTTAAATCTTCAAAAGGATTAATACCTTTTCAAAGGGAATTAACACCTTTCAAAACGGAAAGAATGAAATCTCAACGCTTCCCACTAATTGCTGACATTTGATTACCAGGGATCTTGACCGACACAGAACACGGGGCAGGACAAAGGGCGGCAGTGGAAGATGGGGTCGGGTGATCACTCATCTCACTGCTAACTCAAGGGCTTGAGGATAAAGCCTCGCTTCAGACCCGCGCTGAAGACAGCTCCAGTCAACCCAGCTGTCATACAGGTCAGCTGGACAAAGGACTGGGGGAAACTGGGACCTGAGTCACGCCCCTGACTTGTCATCTCCCTGTAACGGTTCTTTCTGCCCTTTGTAACTCCGCGTGTGCGGCAGTCACGCAGCTGGCGCAGAAGGGACGTCCTTTGTAACACAGAGCAACCTAAAACTTACTCAGACAAGGGATAAAACTGTCAAATTTGATTAAATAACACGGCTCTCTGAAACCTCTTACACGCATCCAGAAGTGACAGCGCCTAGATTTTCAAATTGCCATAAAAAAGAAGAGCTGACACGAAAAAGTATCAGAATAAAGTGTCTTCAATGGGACACGACTGGGCCTTAGAGGTATGGCTGAGCCGACACAGGAATGAAGAGCTGGGTAAGAACATACAGCAAACTTACTCAGAAAAGTAATCCATGAATTGCTGAGGATTTTCAGAAGCCAGCAGCAATTGCCTCTGGTGGGACTCAGACATGCAATGACATTTGAAGCCATTCTATAAAATAAGAATAAGTATGTTGTCTGTCCTTGTGTCAGTTTGCAACAGTCACACAGCTGAAGAGTATTAAAAATAACATTTTATAAGCAAAATCTCTTGGAGGCTCCTCAGAAAACACCTTAACTCATCCATAGCATACACAGGATGGTTGTTCCTCCTGAGCAGCAAGCCAGAAACAAAACTCTTCCCAAGGCCAAGAGACTCCAGAAAACTGTGAAAGGGGTTATGGGACAGGACATTCCAGCAGTCCCCTTCATCCCTTGTGGCATGGGACAGACACGGCACCGCTGAGGTCCACCCAGGGCCCATCCAGGCCCTCGTGTGAGCGCACTGGACATATTTGCTGGCTCCCTCCCTGACTAACACCGACACCAAACCTGTCTAAGGAGAGGATGGTGTCCTGGGAGCGCTCAAGCTATGGACTGGGATAGTTTGGCCACCTCTGGCACAGGGCTGAAGCCATCAGAGCTCCCCAAAAAGCACCCAGCCATAGGACATCTGACCACATCCTTTTTTTGGTTGATATAATGCTGTTTCATCACAACACAATTAAAACTATAGCAAAGTTCATTCCATGGGAGTCGCACCCCCCCTTACAAAAAGATCTGTGTGTAAAGCAGTGTTTTTGCTGGTAGTCACAGGGAAGTGAATAGGATTAGAACTTCTCAGGTGAAAGGGAGAGAGGGGCAGAAATAGCTGAAGACAGAATTAAACATCCACAGGATGCTTTATTTCTCTTCTTTAAGTCACATTAAAGAGGTTCTTCACGGCAAACAGAAAACTAAAGGCAGAGTTTGCCCAAGTGGGGGTATTTTAGGAGCACAACTCTGGCAGAAATCAGGAAGAAGACACTCACATTCCACAGGCATGTGGGTCCAAGTGAGTAGACAAGTGAAAAGAAGAGGGGGAAGCTTCAGAGAAAAAACATCGCTTCGTAACAGGAGAAGAGGGAAGAAACCAAGCCAGAATCAGAAAGGAGTCGTCATCAGTACAAGAGAGACATGGACCTGCTTGAGCAGAGGTCCAGAGGAGGCCACAAAAAATTATCAGGGGGCTGGAGCAGCTCCCCTGTGAGGACAGGCTGAGAGAGTTGAGGGTGTTCAGCCTGGAGAAGAGAAGGCTCCGGAGAGACCTTAGAGCAGCCTTCCAGTGCTGAAAGGGGCCTCCAAGAAAGATCGGGGCAACCTTTTCCGCAGGGGCTACAGTGATAGGACAAGGGGTAACAGCTTTAAACTAAGAGGGCAGATTTAGACTTAATAGAAAGAAGAAATTTTTTACAATGAGGGTGGTGAAACACTGGCACAGGCTGCCCAGAGAGGTGATAGATGCCCCATCCCTGGAAATATTCAAGGTCAGGTTGGACGGGGCTCTGAGCAACCTGATCCAGCTAAAGATGTCCCTGCTCACTGCAGGGGGGTTGGACTAGATGGCATTTGAAGGTCCCTTCCAACCCAAAACATTCTATGATTCTATCAAAAGGGACCTCAGTTCTCCAGACATGCATCCCCTTGGGCATGTCCCTGCACCCACCCTGTCCCCAAGTGAAATCAAGGCTACCCTCAACTCCCCTCTAAGGCAGAAGGAGCCACCTAATTCTTAACCCCATTGCCCTCTCAAGGTGTGTATGAGGGAATCACCTTTCCTGGGGGTTTGGGGTCACCCTGTCCCCTCTCTCCCCCCAGGTAGATCAGTCACTCTGCAGGGGACTGAACGTTCCCCAAGACAGACCAGGGCCAATACACCTTCTCCAAAGTGGATGAGGACTTCTCCCATGGGGGATCCAAACGGAATCACCTCATCCCCACCAATTTGGAACCCTCCAGGTCCCACCAATCTGCCCCCAAGGGGACCATGGCCCATACAAGAGGGAGTGAGGACCCCCAAAGGAATATAAGGGCCTTCTCCAATGCTCCCCTAAAGAGTTGGGGCTCCCCACTCTCCCAGTAAGTGAGGCCAGGATGCTCCCTAGAGGGATCGCACCCCACAGATGGGATCAGAACCCCCACAAGGCAACCAGAGACACTCAGAAGGGAAATCTGAGACAGCCCTGTACCCCCCTCCAATACGACTGGGGAACCCTACAAGGTTATGAGACCCCATGCCCCGTAAGGTGATCGCAGCTACTGCCAAGAGGATTGGGGACCCCTAAAATTGCGTTCGTAGCTCCCTCCCCCCACCCGTGTCCCCCTGAACGGCACTGGGGACGTTTACAAGGGGGATCGGAGCCCCCACAAGGGGACTGAGAACCCCAACCGAAGGGATCTGAACTCCTGGCTATCCCCAACAGAACCGCCCCCTCCTCAAGGGGACTGGGGTTCCCTACCAGGAGGTGGGAGCCCTCCGGAAGGATCACCGGCCCCGCTGAGGGATCAGGGCCCACCGCAGGCCCGGTCACGGCCGGGGCGCCCGTACCTCATCGCGGCACTGCTTCTGGCACATCTGGCAGTACCAGCGCAGCTTCTGCAGCCCCTTGGACTTGATGCGGTTGGCGATGGCCTTGGGGCTGAGGAAATCCGACTT